AAAAAAACAAAAAAACAAAAACATGTTTGCACCGGTGGGAGTCATGACAGGAAGTGAGTAAAAAGTAACATAAAACTAAGACATGTTCACCTTTCTGTGGGCAGTGTTTTTCCACTGAAAATTCCTGATATTCCATGATGACTCCGATGGTCCAGTTGAGTTGGTCTCTCAGTCTGGTCAGCTCCGCTGTCCGTCGCTCTGAGGATGTTTTCTGTGTCATCAGCTGCAGGTTCTGCGCTGTGATGTTGGCCATTTCTCGTTGCTGCTCACTCATCAGTGTGTTAACTGCAGTCAGATAAGAAACTGTTAGTGTTATTGTCTGATTACACTAAAGTCCTTGAATACACAGCAGGTGGACTTACAGTGGAAGATGAGGCCGATGACGACTGACACCAAGATGAGGCAAATAATCACCAGACCTGTCACAACCAACGCGAGCCGACTACAGGCTGGAGCGAACTCTTTATTCTCTACAAGAATAGAAAAAAATGTTTATTTTAATGATTGAATAAAAAAAGATCATTTATTTGTTCAGAAAACCACAAATAACCTGTTATTACAAGGGATGCATCCAATTTCCTCTCCTCAGTGTTCACCTCGTCGTAGATTGTTTCTGTGTCTTCTGGCGTCACTGCAAAAACAAAAAGAGTTTAAAGGAAATGAAAACTCATTCGTAGTTTGTTCTTTGTGGGGATTATTTATTAAACACCAAAAATAGCAGCGACATGCTGAGTAGCATAACATCGCCAGAATTAACCAACTGGTATTGATCGTTCCCCAAAACCACAAACATCACAGTTTTGGCAACGAAAGGGAAGAAAGTAAGTCTGTCACTCACCGTATGTTGGATTTCCTTTTGTCTGAAATATCACTGTCACATAATTCTCTTCTTCCACCATTATTTACGTGTTTGCTGTTTATTGTCAGCGGTACTTACTTTGTTAATCTCGGAGTCAAACAGCCACTGTGGGTTTACTGGTCAGTGTAAGTGAAGTTCAGAGGCAGAGAAGTGGACCGTTGCAAGAGCTGCACTTCTTCTTTTTGTCAGAAAGCGGGAGGGTTGTGGTTATAAGAGGGACATTTTTCTTTTTTTAGATAGTTTTGCAAGAAGAGAAAAAATATGTCAGAATAAAGCGACGGCTGTCGCAGAGTGGAAGACTCACGTTTCCAGGATACTAGTGGCGTCATTTTTTTCATTTGAGTTTAACAAACAATTACCTTCAGTGAATGAAGCTTTGTTTAACATCTGTTGGCAGATGTTAACCAAAGCTAACTTTTAACTTCCAATTCATTTCCAAATTATTAGGCACATCCAGCTCAAACTGATCTAACACAGCAGTGAAATAAATAAATCAGCCACGATAAAGCTTAATGTTTTGGATTGGGGCTGCAGCTGCAGTAATGCAGACGCTGCACCGGTCCGTCGTGGTGAAGAGGGAGCTGAGTGTAAAAGCGAAGCTCTCAATTTACCGGTCGATCTACGTGCCTACCCTCACCTATGGTCACGAGCTGTGGGTAGTGACCGAAAGGACGAGATCGCGGATACGAGCGGCAGAAATGAGCTTCCTCCGAAGGGTGGCTGGCCTCTCCCTTAGAGATAGGGTGAGAAGTTCGGCCATCCGGGAGGGGCTCAGAGTAGAGCCGCTGCTGCTCCACATCGAAAGGAGCCAGCTGAGGTGGTTCGGGCATCTGACAAGGATGCCTCCTGGGCGCCTCCTGGGTGAGGTGTTCCGGGCATGTCCCACCAGGAGGAGGCCCCGGGGCAGACCCAGGACACGCTGGAGAGATTATATCTCTCGCCTGGCCTGGGAACACCTTGGAGTTCCCCCGGATAAGCTGGAGAAGGTGGCTGGGGAGAGGGAGGTCTGGGCCTCTCTGTTTAGGCTGCTGCCCCCGCGACCCGGCCTCGGATAAAGCGGATGAAGATGGATGGATGGATGGATGGTTTTGGATCAGTTTGTGTTGAAACTTCAAATGTGTGATCAATTTTTAGGCTTCACATTAAAGGTTAAAACTTCCAGCATACTTCAGTTAACCTACATGGCAGACGTTGTACGTACTGAGTACGATCAATCATCACAGTTCAATCAATGCCGCTGAAACATTAAAAACTACAGCGGCTTGCAAAAGTATTTGGTCCCCGTGAACTTTTCCACATTTTGTCACATTACAGCCACAAACATGAATCAATGTTGTTGGAATTCCAGGTGAAAGACCAACACAAAGTGGTGAACACGTGAGAAGTGGAACGACAATCAAACATGATTCCAAACATTTGTTACAAATAAATAACAGTAAATCCATGTAGAGTGTGGTTCAAGAGTTCAACGTGTGTTTCATGCAAACATGCAAACAATCAGAAACTTTAAGGACTTAAAAACAGAAATAAAGACAAATTAAATATTTTATATTCTTTATTATAATTCAAATTTTAAAAAATAAAATAGTTTACAGTAATTTAAAAAGTTAACTGACATTTCTTTGACTTGGATCTGTCCACTAAAGACTTGGGGGTAACTGTAGATTTGATCATACATCAATCTTTTTTGGCTAAATCAACCTGCAGTCATTGTTCCCCTGTTAGAAATATTGGTGTCCTTCAAGGTTCAGAAGCTTCAGAAGCACTGTGACAGAGTCTGAAACTGTGTGTGAAGTGAGACCGCTTGTTATTGGGGTTACTGGGAATATGATCGTTAGGGTTTTCTCTGTTTACACTTCAATTCAATTAAGTGTAATCAATTAAAATGTTTTGATGCTCAATCATCCAGTTAAGTAAATCTCCAAAAGTTGATTCTGTTCATCTGGACGCAGTGTTTTCCCCAATCTTATAAACAGTACATTTGCATAATGACTGAAACCAGCCCAGTGAACCTGCAGTCAGACTGAGACTGAAGACGTCACTGAAAACGTCCAGATGAACAGAATCAACTTTTGGAGAATCAATTAAAATATAAGTTTATATAAAATTAATTCAAATGGAATAATGTTAAGAAAACAGAGATAACCCAAACAATCAGAAATCTCTGCTTCTTTGTAGGGTCCTTACATTACAATATGAAACACCTTGGAGAAACTGTTGTTGTGATTTGGCACTATATAAAAAAATGAAACAGAATTGAATAATGAGCCCAAGCACACCTCGAGGCTTTGAAGACCAAAGAAAACCAAAGATTGCTGACTGTTGCTGGACTTTCCAACACAATCATGTTCATGCATGAAGCTCTGAAGAAAAAAATGTCAGAACATATTAGGATAATGTGACCTATGACCTATGAGGCTGCTGTCATTTAAACAAAAAGGGAAGGCAACTAAATCCTGAGATAATCTGAAGCTCGTGTGGATTTGACACAAACTGATGTTATATATCTGTTGATATTATCATTTGTAATGAAGCTTTTTGCTTTTGGACTCCTGCTGGCACAAATAAAGAAGCAGCATTGTGTTGTATTATAATGCATTTAGTATGTTTTATTGCTTCATCTCTGAAACAGGAATGCAAATACACAGATTCATGTAAGTCAGAGATGTAAACAAACATGCAGCAAGTTCTAATTTGGCCTATTTGAGATCTAAACGAGCTGTTTGTGCTGAACGTGGTGGTCCGCGAATTTAAGAAAACCTCGATACTCTTGATCTGTGATATACTTTTCATCCACAAGGGGGAGCTATAGAGTAACATAGTCCCTGCTGTGTAAAGGATTTGACTCCAAATCATTGTAGCAAATTCAATCATGTTCCGTGAGAGGACCTTTACTTCTGCGTTATGAGATGTTAATCGTTAAAATGAATAAGTTACCATGAACCAAAGTAACTTTGTGAAATCTTCTTGTGAGATCATCTCGAAATTTCTGCAATCAGCTGCTTGAACAACAATCAGTGAGTCACCTCAGCTGACAAATCAGCGCGCAGGATCTCTCCAGGAAGCACCTGTCGGGTGTCCACCTGCAGATCAGCAGGTACAGCGTCAAGAGAGGCACGCCGAGAGAGCTGGAGGAGAAGAAATCTCGTTTTTAAACGTTTTGTCCCGAGAGCAGCGATGGTTTGCGGCGGATTCGTTTGCACCAAGAACGCACTCAGCGCGCTCAACATCCTTTATGTGGTGAGTTGAAATCTGTTGATGTTTGCTGGAGGGTTAAATGTGTCCTTGAGGGCCACTTGACGTGAGACCTCTCTAGTCGGTTAATTTACAACTAAGAGCGGAGAAAAAATGCGTGTTTGCCATGGCAACGAGGTGGCAGGCGTAAATGATTACTTTTATTTATTATTGTTTTTATTATTTTTCTACTTCAACTTTTATTTCCAGTGCCAAAAAAGTGCGTAACATGACGTTTTGAAAGCTGATCCAGTATTAGGCCCAACTTTAATATATCAGCAGTGTTTATTTTCTTCTTTGTTTTGTTTAATAATCAAACTGAGGGCTGTTTACTGCTTTCCTATGAGCTGTAAAACATTTAAAAAAGCACACAGGAAGCGTCAAATTGTTAATGTAATGTCATAAAAGGAAATTTCTCAAATGGGCTTCACACAGGAAATATGATTATTTCATCAGAAATTTAAAAAAGTGTAGCATACACTGGGTCAGGTCGTACATAAACAAGTATCTGCACTCTTTTAGTAAAAATTATAATCCTGCAAAAGTAATAGTACAAACAAACAAAAGTATTTAAGTAAAAGTACTCAGAATCACTTACTAGACCAAAATGATTAATGGCTTTGACTTTAATGTTGTAGCTGTTGCTAAGCAGCTTAACGACACACCATGATGTCATAGTAGATTTCTAGGATAAGCTCTGACAGGTAAAATGAATGAATCAATGATCAAATTGATTAAAGCTCCATAAAATGGAACAAAATTAAGAGCCCATCAAATGAAATGTTCCTTCACAGCAACATCTCGAAACAGAACTTTTCTAATCTGCAAAAAATAAACAACTAAAGCTTTAAAGTAAATGTTGTTGAGACCAAAGTTCAAAATTTTTATCAACACGTTGATGTAGAAACTAATATAACACAGGAATACTTAAATGGCTACTGTACACTGATAACACTGTAAAGATGGACTTGTTCTTATTTTGTATTATAGAAGAACTGAACTTTGTACATAAAGCATGTTTGTTAAATTATATTAATAATGTATTTATGTATTTAAGCATCATTTTAAGAAGCCATGTATTCTTCATCTCTGATCAGCTTTCGGTCTGGAACTCTTTGCATTTCAGTGGATTTGAGTCCAAAGTGACCTTCAACGTTTCATAATTTTGGGATGGCTCCTCTAGTCAATCAAACCTTTTGTTTTGGTTTCTTTCCTTTTTTGGGGGACAGACATTCAGTTTGTCACTGCGCTCTAATATTCTGTAACACAAGTCCATTTGTAACTCTACATTTTCTCAATGAAGTGTTGCTTTCACAGGTTAGAACGTCAAAAGCATTTTCCGTCTCACAATTCTAGATATAAATTATGTAATTCTTTTATTTGTGGAACAAATATTTGGTATTACCACCTGAAGTTGATCTTCTAACATGGACAGGTGGAGATGAGCTCTGGAGAAGAGGGATAAAAGTCAGGATAAAAGGTAAAGCAGAGTTAGTGTACGAGTGAAGTGTCAGGGGTGATGTCAGCAAGAGCGAAAGGGATGGTTTACAAGATGGTACAGAGACCTGATGTGACTGGGACAGCCCAAAGCTGGACAAAGAGAGTCTAGGAGGCTCAGATGGTTTGTGCATGTGCAGAGGAGAGATGGAGGAAAAGAGGACCTCAGGCAAGTTTCATGGATGTAGTGAAAGAAATGAAGGGAGAGCATCTTCACATTTTACTTGCTTAGTGAGCTTAGTTTCATTCTGCAATCAGCACCTTGAAAGTTGATTCCTGCCCCTCCTTAAAAACAGTTCCTGGTCCCGACTTAAAAAATGAGACTTTTCCTTCTGTTTCCTTGTGTTATCTCACCTTTCCCCCCTCAGCTGGTGAGCCTGTTGCTGATCGGCGTGGCAGCCTG